TGAGCACAGGATTCGCAACCTTTGGTCGACTGGGCATTCCCCAGGCAGCCTTACTATTCTCCTCGTCCATTTCCTCGCGCAGGATCTTGACCTGCTTCTTCATCTCGATCCACAGTTCCAGCTTATCGAGTTCCGCGTCCGATGTTGGAGTAGGGTCGGACAGGTCACCGAAGGGCAATTTTCGTGCGAAATTGGCATGCAGTGTACCGAGGGCTGATTTCATCGGATCTTGGGGACCTGACCACCTCTCTGCTTCGCGATCCGCCTCCTCGACGCTCTTACCGCCCCGAGCGGCGATAGCAAGTAGAGACGCGACGAAAGCCTCCTGCATGTAAGCGAAGGAGAACTTGGGCGTAATCTCGGCGATCTTTTCGCAGAGCTCATCGGGGAAATCAAGGTCTTTGTTGTCCTTGAGCTTTCCCTGCCAGAACTTGGCGTATTGTACACGCTGGTCGTAATCGGGGTTGGGGAAGTAGTATTTGCGATCGAAGCGGCTAGGCCTTTTGGCGATTCCCGGGTCCAGTCTGTCCAAGTGGTTCGTTGAACCAACCATCAAGATGCCGTCATTGGACTTGAGACCGTCCACTTCATTCAGGAAGTATGATCGGACGCTGTCATTGACGATTGAGTCTAGATCTTCGAAGACAAGATAGCATGGGGCTTCTTGACGGGCTTTGCCAAAAATTTGCGAAAGAGAGTATTCAGGGCCCCCGAAAGATGAAAGCGTGCGAACATAGAGGGTCGGAACGGCGAGTCTCGAGTCTCCTTGTACGCCGCGCTGGTAAAGGCTGTGCATCATGGCCTTGATGCTGATGGTCTTGCCGTTTCCTGGAGGTCCGTAATAGATGACGCCGCGCTTCCACGGCACCTTTAGGTCCTGGTATGTCTGCTGGCCATCGAAGAAGTTCTCCACGTCGGAGATGAGTGCCTTCTTCATGTCCTCGTCGAGGATGACGCTTTCCCACGAGCTCTTTTGTACGGAGTTGTATAGTTCTGCACTCTTTTGCCAGTAACCGCCATCGAAGACCCAGACCTCGTTGTGTAGCTCGCTGCCCCACTTTGTCGCGTCCTTGATCAACTCATTGACTTTGTGCTCTGCGTTGGAGAGGATGTAGTGGAAGGTTGGGTTTGGGTACGACGACCCTCCGTCGCGGCCTTCGGCAACGTATAAGATAGCCTCCTGGTCCTTCCATTTGTACATGTATTTGCCAAAGATGACACGTTCGACCATGTTTCCGGGGCTAGAATCAAGTCTGTGAGCTGGTGGAGCGTACGAACGCCACTTGAGGCCGGGGCCGTATACCGGGTCTTTGACGACATCTTCGAGAGGCGTGGCCGTTGCGTGGCCGGCACCAGCGTAGGCGAGGAGGTTGAGCCTTCCCTGAGGCGCGACCACAAGATCGAGGTTGGGGTATTGTGAGCGGATAGCTTCAACGAGTACGATATCCGTATTGACGCGCTTGCCCGATGAGTGGTCGAAGTAGGAGAGGCTGGTCATGTCCTCGTGGGACACGTTGTTGTTGTTGTTGTTGTTACTGTCTGACATGCTGGGCTGGCAGACGATCTGGTGTTGAGTTGGGATTTTGAGTATTCAGTGACAGGTGTTGAGGGATAAAGCCATCAACCGTCGCCGTGTCTGCCTAAACACCGAGTTCAGGCAAGCAAGCAAGCAGGCAGGCAGGCAGGCAAGCTCCACGGATAGCGAGGCGAAGCTAGCTCTCGCAGCTTCCCCGCGCTAGGAGTGGATCGCCCACCCATTACGTAGCCGGCGTTCCGCCATGAAACCCGCCTCAACACCAAAGCAAATATCTCAAGCATTCTCCAAGCTGAGGATTGACGTTCGTGTTGACGAGCTCGGACGCCTTTGTATCCTCTTCGGCCCTCCTCTGCTTACCGGTACCTGGGTTGGTAGCGAGACGCGCCAAGTTGGTACCAAGCCGGCAGAGAGTGACAAGAAACGCCACGTTCCTGCCCTTGTACTGTTTGTTGCAACGTCTTCTCATCTCTTCGACTGCAGGTCTCATGCTTCTGAGTCGCCATTGTTGACTGACAGCGATGACAGTACTAGGTAAAGTCAGCATTCACTGATTGACATGATGGACGTTGCGATGGTGGGCTACTGCTCTGAGCCAGATGAAACAACAGTCCTAGACAACTCCAGACAACAATTTCTATGTTTGTATCGCTGTAACGTAAAGACGAGTGGTATGCACAGAGTGGCGCGATACCCAGTGATACCCAGTGATCATCGTGCGCAAGACGATACCTGGCTCAGGCATTCTCGAGAGTCCACAGCGCAGTTGGAAAACACCAGTGGTGCGAGGTGTTCTTCGTCGTTGGTCATCAGATGATACATGACGTGCTGCATCACCTGGTGGCTACTACTCAAACTCGTAGCATATCGGCTGAACGTACACTACTAACTCCCGGTTGTTGCGTCCGTGGAAGGTTGCCGGAAGACCGCGGGAAGTAGTTGGCTCCTCGGTCTTCCATAGTGGCGAGGCTTTCTTTCCGTTCTCCCAGCGTCCTGACTCCTGGCACGCTCTTACGCAGGGTCGAAGTGGAGTCCCCAGATCTCGCCCAGGTCCCTCTCCACAATCTGGGTGGACCCTACTTCCTCGTTTCCGAAGCCTTGTGGGAAACCGGCATGGACATAATCGGCTACAGCAACCAAACACAAATTCTTTATACCGACGCTACAATAAGCCACTGGTCAAACACCTTTAGTGAACATGCGATACGTTGAGAAGGTTCGCTTCCATGATCGATTCAACAATACGCAACACCTTTCCTTTTTTCCATGCAGGTACCATACAACGCCTCGGAAGCAGTGTCCAGGCAACCGCTTGAGCTCTTCGTCGTTAAGAACAACAGCAACGGACTTGCGCAATGCGCAAGTTGAGGCACTTCTTTTTGGCCACCATGGACTGAACATGTCCGAAGGCATTGCTTTGTTTTTGATGTTGTGGTCAAGCCTGGTAACCGCCGCAAAGCATCTCAAGCAATGCCACCCCAATAAAAGGAATCTGTGTGGAGGAAAAACTAGTGTCAGTCTTCATCGTGTATCGGATTGGCTCCCATGGTGATGGGTCATATAAGACATGCATGTCAGTTGCGCAAAACAATATGATGGCGCGATTCAAATGCAATTTAGGCTAATGGACCAATGTAAGATGCATCCTCGCGATGATTGTGGTGGCATCAATACATCAAAGCGAGAAACTAAACATCTCTTTAGGGCAGAGTACTTCTTCCTACCACAACAGTTATATAAGAGATACAGAGGGATAGATATAATTGTAGACTTCTAGATTCTCTATCATTCTTTATGAGATTTCTTGCTAAGAGCTAACGTAAGCTGCAGTATAAGAGCTTCTTACCTCTGTGTTCGATTTTTCCCTTACTTTCCAAGACAAAGACGCTGCTGCTCAGACAACACAGACAACAAGTGAGCAATGCAAAAGCCCTGAGACAACACTGATCGCATCTATCCGCCAACATACCAGTCCTGTCGCGGAGACAACGGACACGGAACGGCAGGATGCAGGTGCAAATGACTTGACAGCTGCTCCCGCTGGTCCGAAGGATCGCAACAGCCAGCTTGCGTCTCAACCGCAGTCTAGGATGGGTGGTAAGATGCTGCTCCACTTGCGGCCCCATGCAGCCCCGGACGACCAGGGAGATGGCGGCTTCACGCTACGCTAGGGTCCTCAATCCCACAATTGATGAACAGACTTTTCTGTTCGTCGTTTTCTGAACGACGATTTCAAATCCAGTTATTCAGCATGTGTATAAACCTTTCGACGGCGCGTCTCCTTAGCTCTACCAGAGTTTCATTATGTCATGATATTGGAAGATGCCGGTGGCTTATGCCGAGGCTCTTGGACAAAGCTTAGCCACCTTACCTCATGCACAGGATCATCATCCCGTTTCCTCCGCGGCCTCTGGGGATCCCAAGTTTCAGAGCACGCCCAATAAATCGCTTAAAGGACTACGGAGCGTGTTGTGGCTGTTTCCAATACAAAAGCGCCGACGCTCAAATAGCATCGCAAATACCAAGGGAACGGCTGCGTTCATATCATGTTCCAATATCGCACCCGCGATATCCGGCATCCTAGCTCAGCAGGCAGAGAATGAGTGTCCACATTGGAGGTTCGCGTACACCCATGGAAGGGCAGGACGCCGACTTCGCGTCTAACTACTCCGAGCAAATTGAGCGTTGGTGCACTGACTTGAGCTCCACTCCTGCACGCGTTTCTCGCAGGGGCACTCCTCCAGGGTAAACATGCAGTCAGACCGCTAACATGCAAATACCAATAGCGGTCTGTGTGTTATACGATGTTTCGAAGACTCATGCTCGCGATGTCTGCCGTTTCTGCGTTCAAAACACTTGATGGAAGCTGATGTGTCATGGTCACAAGCAGCGATGATGTAATGCTTGGTACTTGGATGGCGATCAGCACTCGGGAACTGGAGCAGCACATCTCATTTCTCCGCGTCATCGCAGCAGCGAGGCCGTTCTAAACAAGACAAATTACTGTTGGATCGGTTGGCGCACCACTTGCGATCCTCTTTGTCGATGTCCATCCGACCTCGGTAAGGTAGCTTTTAACGCCGATCACACGGCGCATGGTGGCTTGAGTTGGTCTGATTGTCGTTCGTCCGCTCACCGTGCCCTCACTTGATTGACACGCTTGTGGAGACGCATGCTGTCCTTTTACCCGGGATGGAGAGGCGTCTATGAGAAACTGCCATGAGTGGCCCGCTTTAGCACCTGTTTGGAATTCTAATTACCTACCCTTAGTCGCGGGCCTAGCACCAGTATGGGACGACGGCTCATGGCACACGTAGATGGACCATGCTTCCCCTGCGAGGTCTGGTCTGGACATATATCAGTCTCTCCGCTCCCCCAGAGTGGGCTTGCTTTCTCCTTCCCCAGACTCTCTCCCCATTGACCCATCTCGAGTTAGTCCGAACTACAGTTACCCATAGTAGACATCATGGCGACAGCTCGTGAGCACAACGACACCGTGGTAAGCTCGTCACAAGCCCAAGGCAACTTCAAGTCTAACCACCATCACAGCGCGGTCCAAGTTTTGAGAAGACCACAAACGGTACCAGCGCAATGGACCACGCGGCGACCAACGGCGCAGGACTCCCTAAGCAAAGGGCTCCATACGACTATGGCGGCAACCCTCTTGCCCACGTCGCTACGAACGACCCAGACCTACGCCTTGCAGCCTTTGGTGGTGAATTCCAGCCTGGTCTATACAGGCCGCCGAACCGCAAGTTCGCTAACCCAGCTCCCCTGGGTCTGTCGGCTTTCGCCCTGACCACGTTTGTCCTTTCTTTGATCAACGTCAACACTCGCAGTATTGGTCACCCCAACATTGTTGTGGCTCTTGCATACGGTTATGGAGGTCTCGTCCAGCTTTTGGCCGGCATGTGGTATGTACTATTATACAATGCTTGAATGCTCTGTCTGACAAGGAACAGGGAAATGGCTGTTGGTAACACATTCGGTGCTACTGCTCTGTCATCCTACGGTGGTTTCTGGATCGCCTTCGCTATCGTTCTCACTCCCGGTGGATTCGCCATTGAATCATCTCTCGTCGCGGAGGGCGAGTTCTACGACTCGTTCGGTCTTTTCCTCATGGGCTGGTTCATCTTCACCTTCATCCTGCTTCTCTGCACGCTCCGATCGACCGTGGCCTTCTTCTTCCTCTTCTTTACCCTCGACATGGCTTTCCTCTTGTTGGGAATTGGCTACTTGAATGCCGATGCCGCCGGTCCTCAGGGCGACTGCATTGTTGCTGGTGGTGCCTTCGGTCTCATGGCCGCTTTTGCTGCCTGGTATAACGCACTGGCTGGTATTGCGGACAGCTCCAACAGGTTAGTCTTTGACTCTCTGTACCATGCTTGTGACTTATGCGCTGACTCTTTCTTTACAGCTTCTTCGTCATCCCCGTGGCTCACTTCCCCTGGTCTGAGAAGGGCCGCGAGCGTCGCAACAAGGTTGACAACTCGTCTGCCCGTGAGCACCAAGCATAAAGCAGTGCATAGAGTGTACTCGCTATAATCATGCGTCGCTTTTTCGATGCAATAAGATGAGAAACGGGAAGACGTTATCACGGGTCGGCAATGAATATGCCGAAGTTGATGACCGTCGCATGGGATGATACCCATGACGGATATGTATATTTTTAATATCGATTTTCAATACCCACTGTTGAAGAGGAGAGTCTGAATCAAATGTCACGATGCGATACGTTGTAACAAACTCCACAATGCTAAATTCGTGACAATCGCAACGTGCAAGTTGATCCGTCTTCGATAGAGTTTCAGCTCTAACGTAGCAGAGCAGTCCTTGCCCGAATACTCCAATACCACGTCTCAATAGTAGTCTACATACAGACATTACTCAAAGGCATACGACAACATCAATGCTTGTCGGCTTCTTGCTACAAGAATACAGACTAGAGTATAGGTCTTGTCAATTCTGCACCTGTACAGTTTCTCCATTGTATGGGGTGAGAACGTACGTTCCCCGCATTCCAGTCTAGACTACTGCAGTCTCCGGATTTGAAATCTTCCAATATTTCCCCTGCCGTGGGCATCGGTCGATTCACTCACACCAAGAGGCATGGCGCACGTCACAGCATAGCGGCTGTGGCTTACCTTGGCGTGGCGTGAGATCGGGCGGTATAAGCGTTTCCACCCAAGAGTCCTTTGCTCGGCTGAGGTCAGAGGCGCTTACATGTCCGCTGTCTGTCAGGTTGCGCTCACACCATGACCATGGTGGTTGAAGGGCTGAAGAAGGAATGCATGATGAGACATTGAGAAACTCTTTTTTACAAGTTTTGTTAAATCCCAAAATCTACTTTAGAGGTATATGTTGTCACTTTAGTAAATCCTTACCACAGGCCCATATACAAACATTTAGCATGTAATATGGATTAGGTACAGTTGAGGAGAAAATATTTCCTCTGTAGGTTGAAGTATGCGCGTGGGAGAAACTAAACACCTCTCAGGGCAGAGTACTTCTTCCTACTACAATAACGGGCATTAGATCTATATAGATATAAATAGAAAGCCCAGAAGACTACAATGCTGTTAATCTTTATAAGTTTCTTTATTAAGAGACAGTGTAGACTGTAAGATATACCTTATCATTTCTGTGGCTTTGTAGATGTTGGCGGTGTTCTGACCATGTCGGTGCTCGTGATACTTCTGTTTGCTGTGTATAGTAGTCATATGTGTTTTTACGCACTGGTCCGCAGGTTTCTACTCTCAAGATGCAATGCATACTTTGCTAGTGTACACCCTAGTCCCGCCTGCTACTTCTACTCCTACTGCGAGTCCTGCTTCTTGACCGACTCAGTTGTCCCGGACTGCGACTCCTTCCCCGATCCCGGCTATCATAACTGCGACTTCTGCTGCGACTTCGACTATCGTAACTTCTGCTCCTGCTCCTACTCCTGCTTTGATAACTCCTGCTCCTATAACTCCTTGCGCTTCCATCACTTCTTCTGTCTAAGTCTTCATCCAGCTCATCGATCTCATCGCCCAACGGACTCTCCCTTGGCTCCAGCATGTCCAAATCCTCCAGGTTCGCCCGTGACGGCAACTTCCACAGACTCGTCGCGCATATCCGGTCTTTTGTAAGGAGATCGTCGATAAACTGATCAACATGTGTGAGTGTAAAGGCGTCTTTGAGACGTCGCTTTATCTTGCGGTAATCGGTGAGAAGGGGTTCGAGGGTCTGGTAGATTTCGACGGGCTCCCAAGCGAGACGGATGTAGAAGGCGGCGAGGCAGCGCAGGTACTTGAAGTCGCCGAGTTTGCCTGCTGCATTCAGGTCCAGCGCCTTCTTGGTTGCGTCTTCGTCTTCTGATGTGTGGCCGTTCTCCTCCTTCTTGACCTCGGCGTCTTGGCCCTCGTCCTCCTCATCATCGCGAAAGTTCAGGTATTCTAGTATAATCTCCTTGTCCGGCACTAGTTGCAGCATCTTGAAGGCCAGACACAAGAATGGCGTAGGCTTGCCGGTAATGCCTGTTGTGCCGCCGATGAACTTGAGGTCTGCGGCGCGATCGCATAACGTCGCAGCGTTCAGACCGAAACATTGCTCCTTCCAGTAGTATGACTCGGTGATGCGCTCACGCACACCCTTTTCGAAGAGTAGCGCGGGGTTCTGCCCTCTGATGAGCGCTCCGCGATAGCCTCTGTCGTCGAGGAGCGCGCTGGCGTCTGCGCGGTCGAACTGGGGCTTTGACATGTGGATGCGCCTTGGCAACTTGTGATACGGGGTTCGAGGTTGGAGAAGTAGCTTCGTTCGTGCGCGTAGTATAGTGAGGTCCGGGTGCGTGCTGGGAATCAAGGTCGCGCAATGGTCGCGATAATTTGAGCCGGGGTCTTGCCAGCTCCCAAAGTATCGATAGTTGCCCACTCAACGCCAACGATCAACATGCAGCCCTATGAACATCTAGATCCACCAAGGACGTCACACCAGTTCTCGGCCTGCGCTCTCCTGCATAAACTACTCTTGACGTTCTACATGCACACTTCTAGACTGTCATAGTATTCTTATACCCTTTGCTTTCAGCGTTCACTTCTAGCCATGGGAAGACTGCTCCTTTCTTCTAGCCAGGTTGGCGTTATCCTGTCGGCAACAATTGGTACGTATGGTCCACAACGGACCGAAGACTTGCATTGCTGATGCTGCCCGTAGTTCTTCTCTTCACACTTGCACTCTTCCTTTCCGGTTGGGTATTACAACAACGATACGTACACTCTCTGCAGGCGGCCATAAAACCACGGTTACCCAAGCCTTTACCGCCTCCGAAACCGATAGAACCCCCGACATTAGACGCAAAATGGGCGAGACCAATGGGCGGCCGGCCAGAGGTGGACGATACCTATGCTCAATACATCGCAGGCCAGACAATGGACTGGAGCAGGCTGGGCTATGTGCAAGTCGTGAGGGAACACGTAGAACTATGCAGTGCAGTAATGCTACTCTCCGACCTGCATAGAATGAAGAGCCCCGCGAAGAGGATATTGATGTTTCCGAAACTTTGGCTTGTGGAGTCAGAAGATGAAAAATATGGACCGCAAATGTCGACCACACGGCGATTGCTGAGGACAGCAGCGAGGCGGTATGGCGTCACTTTGATGCCGATGGAACCTATAGTGGAAGGCGCAGATGGTGAGTCTTGAGCTGAGGAAGCCACGCTCTGCCAGTGATTGACAGCATCAGACACACTCCCCTCGTCCTATTCGCTAGCAAGTCTATACTCACTGGTAGACTACGAGCGCATACTCTACCTCCAGGGCCCAGGCGTACTGCTCGATGCATCGGCTTTGGACTCATTGCTGGCTTTCTCCAAGTCGGAACCCATGGCCGCGTACCCCGCCACACCAGAACGAACAGACCTGTCGACATCGCTTCTGATGATACATCCATCGCAGCAGAGCTTCAATCAGCTGAGAGCAATGCGCGCGTCGAAGCCAACATCTGATTTGAACATGTTCCGGAAGACGTTTACGGTCCCAGACTCTTTGATCTCAGAATGGTCATTGTCAATGGGCAACGTCGTCTACGAGTCGCAGAATCTGCGCAATGTTGTCGACGATTTCAATGCGACGGCATTCGAAAAGATGACAACGTTCGTGAGACTGTCCGATCCCGAGATACCAGGACCGGAGTACGACGTCCCATACTCTGAACGCGCTAAGCTACGACCGCAGAACGAACAAGCACAAGAGGCATGGAGCAAACTCTACGAACGATTCCGGCAGCGACGCATGGAAGTGTGCGGCCTTGATCTGGAGACGTACCAGCCGATCATGGTCTCTGGTGGGGCTGATGAAACGAACGTGGTGGCTGATGAACTATGAAACGGCAAGGTTTTCTTTTGATGATGCAACGTATGCGATTTGGCTACTTTCGAGTGACGTTTAAATAATGAGGCTTCTCGGGTTGATGGTACAGTACATAGGGTCGGCGTTCGGTGTATCATGTGTGTTGGCGCGCATTACTACGAGTTGATCGGTCTCGACGGTTGGTCTGCTAGCTGTTCGCAGTATAGGCAGGCTGGGTATATCAGCAGGGCTAGGACTCGGGAGCCATGTTCCTCAATGCTGGGACGACCATGCCCAGAGGTACGCATGACGCAACAAGCGATGCTTCCCGCGCAGGCAGCCTACCTGGGCATGACACAGTGTAATGAATAGACGTGTTGAAGTTTGGATGCAGTGCATTCAGTGATGTAGTATTGGTCAAAGGGCATTGACTGCAGCCAGCAAACACTGGCGCTGCGGGCGATTGAAACATGGTTCTTTGAGAGGGCCTGCTTGGGTCATGTTGCCAATGTCGCCCGCTCGTGGTAGCTTCGACGCTTCTTCCCCGCGAGCGAGCCTCTACTGTCTAGCCCAACCTCCACCCATCAACTAGCCCAAAGCTTGCCCGCCCACGCCGCAAACACTCCCTGACCAACGCCATCCTTACCCTGCTCCTGTGCATGTCCGCGCATCCGCACGCACTCTGAGCGCATCAATTGCAGCCCTCTGCGCCGCCCAATACCGTCCCGAGCTCCCCACGCATTCCTGGCCGCTGCTTGCTGAGATCGCCGGAGCTGCGTCCAGGAACAGGCAGGGCAGGGCCGCCGCATTCCTCGAGCCGCCCCTCCAATGCCTACTCTGGGCTTCCTCAAAAAGAAGCGGACGAAGGACTCGAACGGCTCCAAGGACCTCGACTCGCCGACTTCGCCCATCAAGGACAGCAACTCGCCCATCACGCCCACGACATCGCGCAAGTCGGGCTCCTTCCACCTCCACAAGACCAAGACGAACGAGTCTCTCACCAACACCACAAGCAACACCAGCACCACGGCCGCGGCCGCGCCTGCCGCAGACAGCAAGCCGGCCGACTCGATGAACCCCGCCTACGCCCAACAGCAGCAGCAGCCGCAGCAGCAGCAGTTTGGCGCCAGTCCGCAGTCCAACCCTACGCCATCGCACAATGTCCCCAGCATACAGAATCTGATACACCCCAACAACACTAGCTCGCACCAGTCGGCCCCTAAGAATGGCGGCGCCGTGCAGTTCCAGACTCAGCCGCTCAACCAGACCCGTGTCACCAAGGGCAAGTACTCGCTGACCGACTTCACCATCCAGCGGACGCTCGGCACGGGTAGCTTCGGGCGAGTGCATCTCGTTCAGTCCAAGCACAACCAGCGCTTCTATGCCGTCAAGGTGCTGAAGAAGGCCCAAGTGGTCAAGATGAAGCAGGTCGAGCACACCAATGACGAGCGGCGCATGCTGCAGCAGGTCAAGCATCCGTTCCTGATCACGCTGTGGGGCACCTTTCAAGATTCCAAGAATCTCTACATGGTCATGGACTTTGTAGAAGGAGGTGAGCTGTTTAGTCTGCTGCGAAAGTCCCAGGTATGTCGTACTTTACTTGTTCTTCGGCCTGAGGTTATCTAGTACTGACTTCCCCAGCGCTTCCCAAACCCGGTTGCCAAGTTCTACGCCGCAGAGGTGACGCTGGCACTCGACTACCTGCACTCGCACAACATCATCTACCGAGACTTGAAGCCCGAGAACTTGCTGTTAGATCGTCATGGTCATCTCAAGATCACTGATTTCGGCTTCGCGAAAGAGGTTCCTGACATCACATGGACACTTTGCGGAACGCCCGACTACTTGGCACCAGAGGTCGTCGCGTCAAAAGGCTACAACAAGTCTGTCGACTGGTAAGATCCAATTTCTGTAAATATGATAATCGCGCTGACAACACCAGGTGGTCGCTTGGCATCCTCATTTTTGAAATGCTGTGCGGTTTCACTCCCTTCTGGGACGGTGGCTCACCAATGAAAATCTATGAAAACATTCTCAAGTCGAGAGTGAAGTATCCACCATACATACACCCTGACGCACACGACTTGCTGCAGAAGCTCATTACGCCCGATCTTACGAAGCGATTGGGCAACTTGCACGGCGGAAGCAAGGACGTTATGAACCATCCCTGGTTCGCCGAAGTGACGTGGGACCGATTACAGAAGAAGGACATTGATGCACCCTACGTGCCTCCTGTGCGAGCTGGTGTTGGCGATGCGAGTCAATTCGATAAGTATCCGGAGGAGACGGAAGCATACGGTCAGGCAGGAGATGACCCGTGCGTGCAGAGTCCTCCTTACACTGTGGATCACATTCTGACGTGTCCGAATAGTCATGGGCACCTATTTCCCGACTTCTAAACCCGTAATCGAAAAGAGATACGATAAGCCTCTCCTTCAAAATCCAACTAGGCACGGCGATTCCTGGTCTACGTACCCGTCGAAAGTCCGAGCCATTCGTCCTACCATACATACTACTCTGTCCTTGACTCTCCTAGTGCTCTCTGTACGTGCGACCGTGTTGCATTTGGAAACCTGTTTGATTGTGTCATCATTACTACTTGTTGATTCTTGGGCGCCGCTTGGATATGGTGTGGTGTAATCGTTAATGATGAACGATGACATGGATTTGTTGAACAGTATCCTGCCAATCAGGCTCGGTTGTGGGATCATTATTGTGGCAAACATTACTAGTTCTATGCTGATACCTCGGTCTTACCACCAGGAACGATGCGTGTATTAAACAGATGAGAAGAGCAATGCAAGGCTTGAGCAGATGGCATCTTTATTATGCGTTCCCGTTGAATTCTCACAAAGTGAAAACAGTCTGAGATAAGTAAACAATAGGAGAGAAAAGGCAACAGCTATCAATGCGCGAGCTCCGTCGCATATCCCTGGCCTGTTATTTATGCACATGTTCTGTTTTCCTCTCGTATGAGGTGTAGAGTCAGATAAAGATAAGGATGCGTAAATCAGAGGCAATGAAGTAGGCGATCTGGCAGATAAGGCGTGATGGAGTTGTCAGTATTTGAAGCTGGTGGTGATCGTGGTACCACTACCTTCAAGAGAGAAACTGACATAATAAAGCCTGTTAAGACCTTCTTAGATATAGATAGTGGATCCAGAAGTCTGCAATACTATTCATCTTTCTAGAATTTCTTCTTAGAAGCTAACGTAGGCGGTAAACTAGAGCATGTTGTTCCTATACCCGTTTGAGTTTTCTATTGTATACGGTGGTACTATGACTACAAGGGCACCGGAATCGACGGGTATCACGAAATTGCCTGTTTGGGCAGTCGTTAGTAGTAGACGTCATTCCAGAACAACGTAAACAGGGAAGCTGAGATTTCAAGCGAAAACAGTGAATGGAATCGAAGGGTACATTTGCGACGGCGGTTGAGACATGGATTGCTCCATAAACCAGGTTTCTGATTACGCAAAAATTGCTCCGATCAACACTTTTACCAACAATTACCTGTCCAGACGATAGATACTGGCGAACCTTGAGGGTAGTGACGTTAACAGATACTTGGCAAACAAAGCAACATCAGCTACCTAGTAGGATACGAACCTTGAATACAGATCCCTTTGTCACACGCAGGACAACGAGGTACCCGAGAGCCGCGATTGTATTCACTGAAAAGCCACTATGATCGATAGACAACCTAACTTACCTATTTGGGTAGTGTCTGCCCAGCAAATCTCATAGATAAAATGCTTGTGCATGAAAAAGCAAATATCCAGAATGTGTTTAAGATGGGTAAAAGTTGGAGAATACCGTGCCGTAAGCTCCGCGATGACTTTGCCACCTGAGCAATGAGCTAACGATGTCTAAAGTAGAAGGAGCAAGACTTCGAAGAAAAGTATCTTCTGGACGTAACTAGTACCTCAGAGCTAGAAAGGGACGAGTGTACTCTGAATAAAGACGACCAGCAAAAGTCCATCTGTTCATACCAATCAGCCAGCACAACATACAACAAGAAACAAGCATTGGCTAGACATCTAGGTGGTCGTTCAGTCTCTCTTGGCCGCATCATAAGTATATAAACACGGAAAGGGTCCGCGGACTCTTCGACTGCGTCACGGCCGTGCATTGCAAGCGTGGCGGCTTGACAGATGAACTTGTGGTTGACTATTGATTGCGTAGGGCATGGTCTCATCGACACAAAAGTAGAGCTATTGCCATATCTTTCCTCTCCGCGACTTGCAGATACTTGCAAAGATACCGCGAAAATATCTGTCCTATTGCGGTTGATATAAGCCCCCGTTGAGCCTAGCAGCATGATATCACACGCACGCCAAGACGCTAGAGAGAAAGCGGGGATCTTGGAGGGAAAGAACCATGCATATGGGTATGGAACGACAACGACATCGCGACACGTTCGTTTCGATGTGAAAAAGAAAGAGATTCATGAGGACTACAACACATTGATTGGATGGGATGATCTCCGTAAGCTCGACTTGATTCCGCGTTGAAGACGACCGGCTAACATGTTCAACGCAGTGCCATGGCAGCGAGACAACGAATTCATCCTTACATCTCATCGGTATGATCTCAATTACACCATCAAAGAAGTAGCACCTACTGACAACAACTAGGCGAGCAACATTTTCGTACCTCCGCTCCCTGAAGAGCGCCCTCGAGGTCCACAATGAGACGGTGAACATCTGGTCTCACATTCTGGGTACCGCCGTGTTCTTCTTCATCGCAGCCATTTTGTACTTTCCCACACGTCAGATTCGTGATGAAGGAGACAGTACAAATGGCGATGACGAAGCAATCTACGTCTACTTCGGCTCCGTCATAGCTTGTTTCTTCTTTTCGTTCATGTAAGTGCTTCTTAATCCCACATCCACAGCTCTTCATACAAAAGAACTGCCGAGAATAACGATTGACAGTCACCATATATTCCTCGACCATAGTGAGCAGGTTCGCACTTGGACGGGCCGATTCGATTACCTTGGTATCGTAGTTCCACTCTATGGTACGACCATCGCCAGTACGCACTTTGGTTTTCACTGCAAACCCTCATTGCAGGAAGCCTACAGTGTTTTCGCTACTGTGACAGGCCTTGCCTGCGCACTCACAACTCTTCATCCGTCTTTCTCTGGTCCCCAGTCCCGCCATGTCCGCACTACGCTTTATCTCCTTCTAGGATCATCATCTTTCCTTCCAATCGTCCATGGGATCTACCTCTTTGGTGTAGAGAATATGAATCGCAGAATGGGGTTGAGCTATTATCTTGGGTTGGGCCTGTGCCATGGTACCGGAGCCATATTGTACGCTGCAAGAATTCCAGAGAGATGGCTTCCGAGGCGTTGCGACGTAGTAGGAAGTAGCCATCAAATCATGCACGTGCTAGTTGTGTGTGGTGCGGCGACGTACGGAGTGGGCGTCCTCGCGGCGAAGAGGTATTGGCAGACGAAAGGATGTGAAGTGTAGGTGCAAAAGTCACACAGATCTCGAGACCTCTGCTTCTCGTTAGCGGCTACCCCCTCAAAGTACACTATAAAAACAACAGAATCGCGACACCAAACTCGGTTAATACCGATTCGAAACTACGAGCAACAAAGCAACGAAACGACTGAGTGCCACTGTCCCAGGATGAGCACAGGATCTCCGCGGGTGAGGCTCAACAGCTGCAGCTGAATCCACTGTGGGGCTTACCCACAACCTGCGCTACAACATACTTTCTCAAATTCTCGGAGAAGCTTCATCTTGATGCCAAAGCTGAGCAGTTGAGATGACTTCTCCGGTCTTTCTCTCCGATGTCGCTCCAGCAGCGGCAGTACTGTTCACATGCCAGTACCTAGTTCCGGATGCTCCACCTGTGTAAGCCCTCGAAGATGCCGACGACCCCCAAATCTTTTGCGATGTCACGATGATCCAGAGGCGGTCGCAAAGTGTCGACCGGCCTTGGCATAAAGAAAGTCAAATACCGTGATTCCAAGAAAGCGATGACGTTGCCGTGGATTTAAGACACACCCAAGATGATATACCCTTCAGGATCATCGGTGTTCTCCAAGTCCCCTTGTGCATACCCCGTGTTCCCGGGGCGAATCCGCAGTCATGCGAGATAAGACACTGACTCCTCCATTGATTGGCTCAAGCGCGTTTCACAAGCACTCCGCCATCGTGATAGGAGCCGATCGACAAAAGGAAGAGCGATCTGGAGGCCAAATTGACAGATGAGAATTGTGCAACATGCAAATGCCTCCACCTGCTTAGTAGAGTTACGGTTGTTCCAGCCGGTTGTTGCACCGCATGCAGGGAGAAATTGAAGAGGTAAGCCAAAGCTTCCTACTGCTCTACTGCCTACAACAGCACTAATGTAATTATTGTCTATGTAGATATTAAGTCTTAGAGTCTACATTAACTTAGAATATCTAGTGTTATTCTATAATGTACTATTGTAGACTGCAGTACGGACGACTACTTACTCCCGCTCCTCGGAATTTCCCTTGTATACGGTAGTTGCTTATCGGGCCACGTCTCCACACGCACGCGGCAGACACACACGACACTCGTCACACCAAGTTTGCGAAATCATTTGAACACAAAAACAAAGCATATGTTCTTAATTCAGATGAGGTCCAGGGCTGACGTTTTAAGCTAGTGTTGTTTGCTGGCAGCACTTCCAGATGCTCTTGCAAGCGCCACCAGTTCGACACGTCTTGGTGTACTTATGCTAGGAACAGGAAGTTGTTGAGACAGAAAGCTATTTGCGACACAGGCATTTTGTCAAATACTGACCGCGGAAAAGCAGCAATTCATATTATCTTGAGACGTTCTGATAAGGATCCTTGTTCGCCTCGACTACTGTGAGTCTAGTCTCTCGCCTGGTTAGCGCCAAGAGATAAGAGAACGCCTTTGCCGTCCCCCACCATCCCGCGTCAAACCTCACTCCAGCGAACCACGACTCGTCGAATTGATATTCAGCCTCTTGTGCTCCAGCTTAGCCAGTCGACGATGAGATTCGGTTCGCCGCAAGAGTATGTGGATCCCAAGTTAACGCCCCAGTGCTCATCGGAGGCACCCTTTATACCCGAGCACGCGGCAAAGCATACTTTCTCCGAAGCATTGGGCTCGCAGCTGCTAGGTGTCGCCAACGAAGATAACGAATTCGCCAATATTACTGCATACAGGCACGGAGAAGTCTGATCTCACTTGGCCTGGGGAACGATTTACGCCACAACCTTAGCTGTGCGTCACTGTGCTTCACCGCGGAAGTACCATCTTTGGGAGTTTCTGTATCAATCTATATAACCTCTCGACTTCCATTTGGAGTTGCAACTTCAGCAAGCGTCCGCTCCCGTTTCCTCGACCGTGCCTGTGAAGCATCACCAGCTGGTCATCCTTGTCTCATTCTCTCCAGAAACACTAGCGACCCAGCAGGATCAGACCCTCCAGGTCGTGTTCTTTATCATGCCGTTCGCAATTAGCATGCTCTGGTCGGCACCAGAGATCAACCCCTACAACAAGAAGGCCACTTCCATCCCTGTCCTGAACCCCATTAACAAGTATGGGCGTGTGTTTTTCTTCTCTTACCTGGGTTTCTTCATCGCGTTCTGGTCATGGTAAGTCTTTCCCCACATGTGGGTCTTTTCTACTGGAGCATGCTAACAATGTACAGGTACGCGTTCCCACCTCTGGTATGGTAACCCGCATCTCACGTCACTGTGCACATCAGTCCGACTAACACTTCCACAGCTGAGTAAGAGTATCAAGGCGGACATGCATTTGTCGCAGAACGAAATCGCCAACTCCAACATCGTCGCGCTATGTGCAACACTACTGGTCCGCTTCATTGCGGGACCTATGTGCGATCACTTTGGCCCACGCATCACCTTTGCATCGCTGCTATTCGCTGGAGCTATTCCAACCGCTCTTGCTGGCACTGCTCACAATGCAATGGGTCTTTATTTTATCCGTTTCTTTGTCGGTATTCTTGGCGGAACTTTCGTGCCCTGCCAAGTTTGGACTACTGGCTTTTTCGACAGGAACGTCATTGGAACTGCCAATGCTTTGGTCGGAGGTTGGGGTAACTCTGGTGGTGGCATCACATAGTAAGTGCCACGTTATAATCTACCAAGGCTTTCACTAATGCCTTCCAGCTTCGTTATGCCCGCCATCTACGATTCTCTCAAGGCTGACCAGGGTCTCTCCTCTCACGTCGCATGGAGAGTATCCTTCATTGTTCCCTTCATCATGATCACAGCCTGTGCCCTCGCTCTTCTACTGCTGACCGATGATACGCCTACTGGAAAGTGGTCTGAGCGTGGTGCTACCGTCGTGTCCAATGCAGACCAGACAGTGGGCCACCACGCGTCTGTTGTTCCTACAACTGGAGCTCTAGACGACAAGCCTGCAACTACCGGGTCGATCTCTTCTAGTGACGAGAAGAAGCAAGAGCGACCAAACTCCGATGTCGAGTCCGGTCGCGGCGATGTCCAAATCATGGACGAGTTCCAACACGAAGTTGTCGTCAAGCCTACTTTGAAGGAAGGACTCAAAGTCATGTTCTCGCTCCAAACACTGATGCTTTGCTCGGGCTACTTCTGCTCCTTCGGTGGTGAATTGGCCATCAACTCCATTCTTGGTGCCTACTATTTGAAGAACTTCCCCTACCTTGGTCAAACGCAGTCTGGACGATGGGCAGCCATGTTCGGTCTTCTGAACATTGTTACCCGACCACTCGGTGGCTTTATCGCCGATCTCATCTACAAGGTCACCGGCCGCAACCTCTGGGCGAAGAAGTTCTGGATTCACTTCGTCGGCGTCATGTCTGGAATCTTTTGCATTGTCATCGGTAAACTAGACCCACACAACTTGAGCGAGCTGATCGGTCTTGTCGCTGTCATGGCGATCTTCTTGGAGGCTGGTAACGGTGCCAACTTTGCACTTGTACCTCATATCCACCCTCACGCTAATGGTATGTCTATTCCCTCACCATGACATGGAAATTTTACTAACTATTCGAAAGGTATCCTTTCTGGTATTGTCGGCGCGACTGGTAACTTTGGTGGTATCATCTTCGCCATTATCTTCCGCTACCACAAGACGAATTATGCGCAAGTGTTTTGGATTATTGGCATCATGATCATTGTGCTTAACTGCATGTTCATGTGGGTAAAGCCTATTCCCAAGGGGCAGATCGGTGGTCGTTAAGGTCCATTCATGTTTTGTGTCTGTTGTTTAGCGTCTTGTACATATGATACCTCTGTTGATCGTACTCTACAATTTCTAAAGTATGAAAACTAAAGTCTTTTGATCATGAACTATTCTTGTCAATTCTCTATGCTCACTCTTAGTGTGCGCAATCTTCTACCGTTTCTGTGTTGCTCACCGTACCGTTTACTCAATCGAGAACACTATCAGCCTGTGAGCACATCGACATGAAGGTTACAAGCACTGCAAGAAGGATTGTGGTCACCAGCTCGCTCATCAAGACCCTCGTGGAGGCAGAGGCAAGAGCAAAAGCAGAGACCACCACTCCCAACACTGCAAAGTATAGCGAGCTCTATTGTCAAGTCAACGAGACCGCTGCTCTAACAAGTCCCTATCTTACCGGCGGGAATCCCGCCGTCTTGGAGATGCAGAAGTTGGCCCTGGAAGAGATGCTCGGTGGTCCGAGGCGTAACAAGTCGCTCGACATATTGTTAAGTGGTCATGCCATCACCGACCAAACCAGGGCAGAAGAGGCCGTGAAGGATATTAAAATAAGTAAGCAGAGTTAAACGACACGATAGAGTACATCCTACCTCCCCTCCTACAATAATGTATGTTAACGGTTATAGTATATATATGAACGATCTAGAAGCCCACAGTGCTCTTAGTCTCTTTGAGGTTTTCTTTTAGAAAATAATGTAGGCTTCAGGGTAGGGCATAGTGTCTCTGTAGCTATTTTGTCTTCCTCTTGTATGCGGTACTATATCTGAATGGTATTCTTAGAGTCCTCTCGCCAACCTCGAAATAACATTATGCAAGGTAATCAGGCTTTCCAATTCTATAGCCCAACTGGAAATGCATGTATCTCCCCAATACGATCGAGTCTTCATCGTCACATTGACCAGACTCCTCCGACGCGCAGCCAAGATACAGGTTCTAAGGGAGCTGCCCGGGCTGTTGGAGGACGTCAAGATGCAAATCGGCGAGACGGTCGATACGGACACAGCAGAGGAAATCACAACGGTACGCGAATTGATAAAACCATTGCTCAAGAGCTAGAAGCCATTCATGGACAATATCTGAAAGACACGGAGTTCCTGAAGAGCTACTATGGAGGATCACACTTGATCGCTGACACCCTAGAGGTGGTCATGGCTCGACTGGCAGCAACTGCTGATCTTGATACTGCTAGATTGAACATCGCTCAAATGTTCCGTCTAGTTGTTGAAGAGATCGCCGTAGCTGGATCCGACTTCCCCCGAAGATTGCGCGAGTTCTCTGAGCTACTGAGACAATGCATGGATAGTCTCGACGACGACGACGATGACGAAGATTAAGTGGACAGCATCTGACTTGGTTCTATCGTCTCGGACGATAGGCCGAAGCATAGAGGGCGTGGGTGAATTTCATGTTCAGGGTAGCAAGCGGAGATGCGCCTCATTCTGGCTAAGTTTCTGATTCAGTTTGACTTTGTGCGGCATAGCGACCCGAGAAGACTCATTATACAAAAATGTGCTGAGACAGTCCGCTAGATCCGGAAAAGTTAGATAACCAACCACCGGTGAATGCAATATCCAAGATAGCAAGACGTGCGTTGGCGATTGCTTGACTTCCAGGTAAGCGCGTGGAGAATATGGCGAGAACAAAGGTTTGGGGCTGTGCAATTTCATGCCAAGTGCGCTTGACTCAATACGTACTAGACATGGAATTGCACTTTCGGTGCCGGTCAGCTGAACCCCTGTTTACTTTTGCACACCGCAACCTTCATGCGTGTCGTTATAACCGCAGCATATATCCAGAATCGCACAATGGCTTCTCTGGAACAGAGCTCGATCTACCTGGCTCCAGTAGCAAGTTCATACAAGCCGAATACTCTTACCAGGCAGCCACGCGCGCACCGCAGCTTTCCGATCGCACTTTCGCACTTTAAATGTGCACATTTAACGGCACATAAAAAGGTGCACTTTGCAGTCGCAACATTATAAAAGATGACGAAGGACTGGGATTTGGTGCAGGATGTGATCAAGGAGCTTTCTTTTGTGCAAAAAAAGCCTTTGGAAGAAGTCAAAGAGCTAATGGAACGCAAACACAAGTTTCGGGCTTCGTGAGTGTTCGAACAGATGGAAATATGCTGGCATTATTACTAATAACTAGTATAGAACGCGAGCCTATCGTATGAAACTGAAAGAATGGGGTATCATGAGGCACAAATCGCGAAAGATCACAAGACAGCGTCGTGAAGCGCGACTACCAAACAAACAAAGTTCAAGCGAGACGGATCAGCGCAACGACGAATCCGTCGAGCCGGCTGAAGTTATCACATTAGAACCTGAGTCTAGGGGACATTGCACGAGGACTGGGGGCTGGCAGGTGGTGGCTAGTCTGCCGGCTTTAATCGCTGATGGAGCTGGTACCGTTGCGGAGCCAACTTTTCTGGGACTATTGAATCAGCCACAAGAGTACGGAGACCCCTGGTCTTCTCCATGTTTGTATTGCGTGTTCGCTAACCATGCAGTAGTCTGCAGCCATCGTTCGAGGAGACATGGTCGCACGATCCTGCGCATTCTTCAGATATAGTACTGGACATGGTTGGTGCAGTCTTGGAAGGCAGTCTACAAAAGCTCGAGAAGCTTCTTGTCGGTAACGTTGATCATATCAACGATCCCATAGGTCTGCCTTTCGAATCAGGTGCTCGATTTGCTGACCATCCTGCTTTGAATGAGATGGTCATACTCCAACACCCGGATCAGACCTTGTTCGATATCGCTTGTGGCATGCCTTGCGGACCGATTATATGGGTCTTGTTCGCTTACGGTGCAAAAGGCTCCAAACACCCACTCGGAACAGACCTAGCCTTGCACAATGCTATCAAGAACGGCAGAGCTTATACTGTTCAGGCGCTGCTTCAGCCGGGTCGCTCAGACGTTAACGGGCTTCCAGGCTCGAGCTGGAGTCCTTTACGTCAAGCAGTATTCTGGAACGTTCCCGATGTTGTCCAGATCCTTCTTAACCGAGGTGCAAAGGTCGATGATGCTGGCCCTGCGCCTGGAAAACCCGGTGTTCACACGGCATTACAACTATGCTTATTACATAGAATGAACACTTACATGGATCCCGCCGCTCGGAAAAGCTGCCATATGATTATGGATATGCTTCTTAGCGCTGGAGCGGACATTCATTGCAAGCCTCCGGAGCTCGTCATTCCGTCGAATTTTGCCATGTTCGTCAAGCCATGGGAAAATCGTCCATACTGGGCTTTTGAGCTCTCGCCAGATGAGCTCGACTGTTTTCGAATGTTCATCAGCAAGGGCGCTGAATTCCCATCACACTTCCAAGGGTACCCCTGCGAGTCTCCCTACAAGCATACGTTTGAGCACCAGGCGCTGTGGCATTCGACTCCTACTTTTGCGAGATGGCTTATTGATAGTTTTATGCCGACACCCATCAATAATGGCAGCTCCCTCCTATATGAGATATTGGGCTGCTGTCCAAATGAGAAACGGCATCCAGCCGACACTTTACGCGACATTCAAGTGCTCCTTCAAAAAGGCGTAGATCCAAATCGAGCCACGCGAGACAGCATCAGCCCTTTGCGTAAGTGCATTGCGGATTGCCCTGCCGTAGATCTTGTTCCACGTCTCCAGATGCTTCTCGATGGCGGCGCAGATCCTGAAGCCGAAGATGCGGATGGCGTCCAGCCGTTTGTTCGAGCGGCAGAGACATTCGAAGAGCCGCTTCTTTCCAAGGTCATGTCAGCGCTGGTGTCGAAGATTCCAGGAAAACAAGTACGACACATTAATGGTATCTCACATACATGGGCCGTAGGCCACTTCCCAATCTCAGAAACGCAGACATACGATCAAGTCATGGCGTGCACACGCCAAACGGGCGACTTTATGCTCAACCTGCGGACGATGGTTCCGGAACACATTCAAAGCATCTTCCAGCGAGCTTACTTCGATGTCGTAAGCAAATACTTCCTAGACACGATGACCAAGGTGGCAAAATCCAAGATGCTGAGCTCGAAAGAGAAGGACGAGATCGTTTGGGTTGTCTCGATGCGAGATGGAGTCGATCTCCCAAATTACAACTTCGACCAAAAGCTCGTCATTGCGTTGCTGGACCCACAACCAATACCAAGCGTGATGCTTGGGTCAGAGAACGACCCTGGGAGGACTGCCTCATCGAATTCCAATTCAGTGAGCGCTGCAAGCTCTCCAGCATCTAGCGCTACGATCACTGGAACAGCCACAGACTCTGGAGTTCACACCCCCTTCCAGTTCAATGCTAGCAAGGCAACAACCAGAAAAGACCCCCCAATATCTACTGAATCGCCTGAATGGATTGACGACTTCTTTGTAGCATCTACGACGCAAATCCGATGGCGCGACCCATGTGCACCACCCAAGCCAGGGGATATTCAGAAAGCTACAGCAGTCGTTTTAACATGCAAGTGTACAACTTGTAATGATGGAAAGCTTCTCACGAAAGGTGAGCTGGAAAGACACAAGACTGAACACGAACATACGGCGGACTGCGATATAGTTGGTTGCAAGAGGCGCTTTTGCATTGAAAGACGAACTAGGGCAAATGGTGTGAGATGTCAAGATCATTTGTTCGGTGGTTGAGAATCGCCATTCAATCAAAGACACAGTAATACATATGCAAACACGCTTCTTGTATCCTCTAGCATTCCTTCCCCTTACAAGCCACTGAGACCCAGCGCCAAAGCAGCAAGCAGACTGTTTAGCAGCGCAATAACGCCCGCCAACACAACATTAAGCACCAATTGTACCGCCAAGATCAACAAACCCAGCGCACTCGTCAACGGGTTGATGAAAATCAATAGTCCAGCGAGACCCAGAATTGCAACGGCAGCCGTAATCGTAGCGAAAATCTCAACGATGATGAGAGCAAGGAGAGCGCCCACAGCAATCAGTTGGCGCTTCTCTTTGGGCTGAGATGCGTCGACATCGGTGGAGGAGCGTTTTTCGTTTCCGTTGGCTGGCACCATGGGCTGTGTGGCGTTCGCAGGAGCGAGTTCGCGGATCTCAGACGTGGTGGAAGTAATAGCCGCGGTGATCTTGTTGATTTGCTCGCCTACTTGGGGGATGGCGGCAGTCTTTTCAAGAATAGAAGAAGAAGTCGAGAGCGGAGCAAGAGTGGCATTGATGGCTCCCGTGTAAATTTGTACAGTGGCGAAGAGATCGGTGAGCAGGGTCTCTACACTGCTTTCTTGACGCTTCTGTTGTACAACTGGGCTAGCAAGGGACAGGCCGCTGAGGGCGAAGACGGCGAGGTGGGAGAAACGCATTTTGGCGTTGTGTATGGAGTTCTTTTCGAATTAGGAAGGGATATTGAAGAAGCGGGTGGCGAAATATGCACAGGAAGGATATTGAGCGAGTGGATCGTGATGAGTCTCAACTAGAAAGGAGAACAATACTCTTATATGCTTCCCACCTTTAGCACTCCAAACTTGTTTATACATGGCAGATGTTGACTCTGAGTTTCGCATGAGCAATGCTCGTCATCGTCAATTTCCCAGGGTGAAGGAAGCTCGAAATGGACATAGTCCGGGTATGCGGTTCGGACTGTTTTCTCGATGGGGAGGGATGATCGTCATAGGCGGACCCAGATCTATTGATAATACTTATCCTTGCTGTATATCACTTACACTCGCTTCGCTTCTGAAAAACCGTTCCAGGACTACGATGCATTACAATTGCCGGAACATGTAAGTATAGAAATGCTGCGATGTCGTTCCTGCTGAACAGAGAGAAAATACTAGCTTCTGCTCAGTGTTTTAATGACAGTAAGTGCAAGTGTGAAACTCGCTGCAGCACGTGTACGTTTTTTACTTGGACCAGTCAAAACACGTTCAGGGCCAAATCATGGATAGTGAAGACGCTTGTAGCCGGTATCCCGCAAGCGGTGGTTTGATCTAGTGCCGTATACATCGTGTACGCCTATTCCGCGGATGTCGCCCCTTGTCAGCCACGCTAGTCAGACTGCGAAAAAGGAGAAGCGACGTCATGCCAGCACGAAGCTTGACAACCAAGCTTAATCACCGGTGGTAGAAACCCCTGAGCTCCATTATCATTGGCTGCGCTCAATTCCATTGGTGTTTCCAGACACCCGGTATCCTTGTAGATTCTTTGCACGCACGATGTGATAGACTACCGCATACAGGGAAAAAATTTGACAGGTATAGAAGTAACGAGTTGTATTTTACAGCCTACATTAGCTTCTAATAAGAAAACCTATAAAGATTAATAGGTTTGTAGACTCCTAAATTCTCTATTTGTATATACATAGCTCTTAACATGCTTTCTTGTAGTGGGAGGAAATATTTCTCTGTAGAGGAATGTTTGGTTCTCTTCTTTGATAAGGAGAATTTAGAAAGAACGAGCTTCTTCGTGCGACAAGTTTAACAGGAACATGGTGAGCGATGCAAGGTCTTCAATAATACGCCTACGAATGCGCCTACGAATGCTGTTTGCAAAACGCCCTGAGGATAATCCTCACCCACCTTTGGTCATTCCGTCCAAGTCATCTGTGTTCATCGTCATTTACAACCTCCTCATCAGTCATATCCGTCTAATCTAAAAGCTCCTTTTTCCATCACCAAGCCCATGAACGCGACCTGTACACTCAGTCGAACGATACAGTATTTCTCCATTGAGGTATACGAAGCCTCAGACGTCTTCTGGTTTCTTTACTTGTTCTCACTCGTCGCCAACGAGCCTTATTTCAGCTACTTCGTCGTCCTGATGTGTAATAGGTGTGTTGACACCACTCCAACCACTCTTTACTGGGCCGTCGTCACCAAAGTCCTCCATCAGCCTATTACCCAAGCCACCTTCGTCAGCTTCTGAACCCAGAGCGCCAGTATCGGATGCAATGCCGTCATCGTCGGAGTCGTTGCGACCACCCAAGCCCGTGCTATTGAGGCTGTTGAAGCTCCAGACTGGCTGGTCAGTATCATCCCAGACATTAGTGCTGGTGTTGTACGGGATCTCGTCAGCGTAACCCTCATCATCGGCATAGGCCGGCAGCTCTTCTTCATCACTCTGGCTCGCGGCTGCGACTCCGTTCTTTGGACGGTTCGCGGCTGCTGAGCGCGGATAACCACCCGCGCGCAGGGCTACGGCTCCCGCTGCGACTGCGCCAGCGCTCGACGACCCATTGCGGGACGAATCGCCGAGGCGCAAGCCGTTTCCCGCCGGTGAGCGGGAGCGAAGTTCTGTGTCGTTATCTTCGTCAGAGCCGGGGTTGCTGATGTCGGCGGTTACAATCTGCTGAAGGGAGGGAGGGCCTAAAGGGACAGGCGAACGGCGTCGGTAGAACAGAAGGTAGGCTGATCTTGATACAGCTTTCCGTCCCGATTCGCATTTGGTCACTATTGAGTCTGGTGAAGTTAGCATGGACATAACGACGTTTAAGAAGCACGAGGATAGGCTTACCATTGTAGTCGTACCACTGCTTGTCGAAGAAGTTCTGCGCAGTGGCTGTGTAATGACCGCCTCCAAGCCCACCGAAGTGATTGTCGACAGCGAACAGATCATAAGTGAGATCCTTGCCCTCAGAGAAGCCGACTTTGCCAGACAAGTCTAGTCCCTCTATGGGGAAATCGACCAGATCCTCAATCTTGTCTCGGAAGTTTCTCGCTCCACTGAAGCGCTTGAGATGTATGATGAGAATGTCGGGAACAGTCCAGATCTCGAGTGTTTTTGTTGCCCTACGCCTTTCCTTACAACGGCTGCAGTACCACGCGTTGTCTTCCGAGAGCACTTCGCTCTTGGAGGATTCATTGAAACACTCATCGAGATTGATGCCATGCTTGCGACGGGCTGCACGCTTCTCTTTCTTCTCCTGAAGCTCTGGGTCATCGAGGAGTTCAATCGACTTCATCGAGTCCGCGCCCCTGGGATCATCTGCCGTTGTGGCCCCAAACAGAGCGTCATAAGCTTTGGAATCCCAATCAAGAACAAGAGCCTCGCCCATTCGAAGCAATCTTTCGTCAGACTCGTCTTCAGGATCATCCGGATAGTTCGGTTGGTCTGGTACCTTGCCTGCTTTCTTGTTCTTGAAGTTCTTGTTGTTTTTGTGTTTTCGTTCCATCTTGCGCTCGTGTTTGCGCGCTTTTTTGCTCTTCTTCTTGTTCTGGCGGCCAGACCGAGCGAACTCTGGAGCTTCTGGCTCGATGGACTGCATTTCCTCGTCGCTACTAACATTGGCTGCATCGATTACTGCGTCCGCATCAACGATCGTGGCCTGTGATGCATCCTCATCTTCATCGCTGGAAGTAGTCTCGCTTCCAGCAGCAGACGATTGTACAGATTCCTCTCGGGATGATGGTATCTTGATTCGCTTCGAGATAGGTTCAAGTGGTTTTGAGTAATCGACGGTACTCCAGCCAGTGGTAACGATCTCCGAGCTCTTTCTTGTATGCTTCATCTCAAACAGATTCCTGTCTCAAGTCAGTTTGTTGTTGCCAAACCTAAAGCAGCTCTCCTGTATCTCTGCGCTGCTAAACCTTGAGGGGGATGCCTTGTACGTACCTGAACTCCGGATGGATATAGCTGCCCGGTCGAAGAATCTCAGGAATTTCATCAGCTTCGTTAGTTCGAGCTACAGGCGTATCCTTTGCATCCGTCATTGTAACCTCAACCATGTCCTCGCCTTCAACAGATCCATCTTGGACTTGGGGATCGTTTGGTGATGCGTCCTCTTCTGTTGTCAACACAACGTCGGACCCAGGACGCGACTGGTCTTGTCCACTAAGCTCACTGAGAATTGGGCGAGTAGTCATCCCAGCAACCCTAGCCAAAACCTTTCGGAGGATTGTGTCATAATCCTTCGCTTCCTCCCTGGTGAGGACGATAAAACTAGGCCACAATGCCATGGACTGTCCCGTCGCCCTGTATGCAGACTGGCTGGGTATCCGGTGGAACATTGGGAATACAACGCGGTCATGGAGCGGCGAAACTGTCTCCGGAATCTCCTCATCAGAGGACTGTGAAAGCATCACACGATATTTGGAGCCCTTCTTCTTAGGAACTGGCCAGTTGCTAGGAGCCATTTCCAATTCATAAAAGTAGATGTCATCTCGTGCGCCTATATTCGACTCCGCTATTGTGGAAGCGTCGTCCAAGTGTCGATAGTATTTGTGGCTGTAGACCTCTGACGCCATTATGCGGTTGGCTGGAACGCCGCCACCGCGCTTGCCGACAAAGTCTTTCAAAGCTTTGATTGTGGTGTTCTTGTCGACGTCAAGCTCGATCTGGACAGGCTTGCCAGTCAGTGGCACGTAAGTGATGGTATGAGACCAGGACTGCTCTACCGGCAGCTGCAAGGTGAGCTGACTGTATGGGTCGAAAGTAATGCTGACTTTCTCGCAATCTGGGCATACCATGGTGTTCTTGTAGAATCCATTGAACAAATCCATGGCTACAGAGTCGTTACGCGCCCAGTAATTTTGTCTATAAATCTCACCGAGTCGCTTGACTGCCTCTGGATCGCGAAAGGTATTGTCATCAGAGTCGGGATTCTCTAGGTACGGCTTCTTGATGATACGATTTAGATCTTCATGGAGCGCGTCGACCAGCCAGCTGACGAACTCTTGAGAGTCCTGCTGCCCATAGCCAGAGAACATTGGGTTAGCCCTGCCTAGCTTGAGCTTAAAGTCCTTGGGCGAGACGGAGGAATTGTTGTCAAAGCCATAAATAGAGCTCAGTAGCCCGGCATACGACTTGGCGATGACACCTTTGAAACCGATGGGGTTGTCCACGTTGACTTCGTCCTTCCATTTGTTGTTTAGGAAGTACATGCTTAGCTCTTCGACACTTCGTAGACATTGGAGAGCGGAGTTCATGTAACACGTGTTGCCAAGATTCGTAAGCCCGACGTGGCCACGAACTTTGCCATTCTGCTTCCTTCCACGCGTTACAGGGCCTCCCGTTGGAGTACTCCTCCCGCTGTTAGGATTGCTCTTGCCAACCAAAGCATTAGTCTTGCTCTTTGACGCCGTTTTGGTGGTCTCTGCTATGTATTCGCCTTTTTCATCGTGTTCCTCAAGTACAATAATTTGGTCCTGGGTCAAACCAGCATCGGCCAAGGTAAGGTCCTCGTTGGAAGCCTCGTTGTCTTTCTCATCTTTGCCAGTAACCAGCTCGCGCTCCGAGCCAAAGGCAAGACCATTGAAACTTTCGACGCCCATGACAAGCGAAGGCCGCTGAGCAGGTGCTGGCGCAATGGGAGATCCGTTACGAGGGGACGCGTCAGGTGTTAATATGCCAGAGGGTTGCGATGGCTGGGGCTGATCTGTGGGAGCAGGCGTGAGTATCCGCCAAATGCGGACTTTGTTGTTGAGATCAATGCCGGCGGCTTTTTTCGCGGCTTCAATGAAGGCAACGAAACTCTCGTATCTGCTCGCAACGAGCTTTGCGGCTGGTGTGGCGCTGTCGGTGGGGTTTGGAGATTTTCGCACTTTTCGGATTGTGAAGATGGGAGGGTGCAGCTCGTAGGAAATGTCTTCGCTTACTCCTCCTGGTACCGTGTTGTGGGCGTACCGACGTATGATAGGACTTGACTTGTCGAGCCCATACCAGCTTTGAACCAAGTCCCATGCTTTACGGGGCAGGATCTCAAAATCTTGACCCAGAGTCGCCGCCTTGCTGAGCGGGACAAAGTCTTCTCCATGCTGGTCGACCAGGTCCTCGTGCATCAGCTCCGTGTCGACAAGATGCGAATTGTCTACCGCGCCGACAGGACCCTCGGTTGCGTCTTTGCTGAAGTCGTTTGGCCTGCTTATGTTTTCCGACGTCCTTGCCCAGACACGCTCTAGCCACTGCTCAGAGATAACATAGCCCTCCTGCCGGTCCACCAGAGCCTCTGTAGACATCATGCCCATGACGCGAGTCACCTGCTCGTCGATGCTGGGCATGTCGGTACGTGGAGAGGCGTCGCCGTGGCCGTCGAGGCCGCTGCCGTTGGGCGCATCGGCCATCTCGACCGAAGTTGCGCGCGCACTGCGCTGTGATGTGCTTGTAGGCAGGGGCTTGCCGGCTCGGGAGCCCGACTGCGCGTCGTTGGTGCGTGTGTTGTCGGCGTCCGGCTTGTCGTCCATGTCTGAATGGAGGCGCTTGGCGGGTGACGATGCCCGTGGAGGAGGCCTCTGCGAGTGTTGCTCGGCAGTTCGTATGCGGTCGAGATCGGTGAAGGAGCCCTCGCGGCTGTCGAGGGTCAGGTTGGCGTAGGCCTCGCTGGGTGAGCTTGCCCCCGTGTAATTGCTGTTGTCTCTCGCGGCAAGACTTCCAGAGTCAGGAGCGTCAACTAGAACTTCGTCGTGCAGGTGCGGTGGCAGATAGCGCGGTGGTGACGCTGAGGGTTGCGGGGAGGAGCGAGGGGACCCTACACCGACGCTTCCCACATTCGGTGAATGGTTGCCGTCGAGGTTGGACGAATCTTTTGGCGGGACCACGATCTTCCGCTTCTTGTTATTAGTGGAGGCCGTTTTGAAGCTGATTGCCTACCGTGAAGCCCGCGAAGAGCTTCAAGGCAGATTATACAAGGCGAACCAAGGAGGGTGAAAGGGCAAGCAAAAGGCGGAGAAAGATTATGCAGCGCGTAGCTAGGGCCGCAGTACCAAGAGAATGACGCCTGTTTGTTCACAAACACAGTAACACGGCGGTGAAGCAAACGTGGGGTAAAAGCGCAATGTCCGCAAAAATGAGAGCAGCGCCGTGCTATACGCCGTCGTCACTATCGGCTTCGAATCCCTCAGCCTTGCGGAGTAAGCGAGCTTGGCGACGCGGTGAATGCTCCACCCCTGTCGCGTATCTGACAGGACTGAACACTTGTTGGTCACCATCCATATAAAGCAAACCCAGAACAGGTGCACAACTAACAAGTGGTCTTACAGAGCTCTGCCTTACAGCCTACATCAGCTTGTAAGCGGAGGATGTACACAGTTTGATAGAATTGTATGCTTCTAGGTCCTCCATCTATATACAGAGTACTCGTATCAGACTTTGCTGTGCTGAGAAAGGGTGTTCATGAAAAGGTGTTCAAGTCCTCTCATGAATCCACGTTTCCGCCGAGGCTCTTTTCCTTTTTCAAACATCACTTGGGTACATCATCAGACCTGACCATGGTAATTTTGCTTGCACAAGTCATGAACAAAGAGATGTGAAGCGTATTGCAATCATGCATAACAGTGATTGGGCCTCGCTCAACAGTCATTATACTGTTAGCGCAGCAGTCTATTGGTATTTATGATACAGAGACTGGGTAGATCTGTCACGTTTCATTTCGACCCGCTGCTGTTCAGCCATGCAAAAGCAGAAGCGCCGCCAACCGGGTTCGCGGATCGAGGTTTCGACAGTGCAGGCACGTTTTCCCTGCCCTTTTCTCCAGACACAGTCCTCTTCACCTGAGGAGGCGCAAGGTCACTGGTCGCTTCGCCCTCACCCCTTCGCTTTCCATCATCAAAAAAGCGCGACTGTCCTGTGACTGGCGATGAGTTTGACGTGGATAACGTACGTGTCGATCTAGAGGGCTTCAGAACTTTGATGCCTGTATCACGTCGCTGATAACTGGGATTTGAGCTGGTAGTTTTACCCACATTAGCCCAATCCAAAGAGCCCGTGTTTGCCTTCTCTGCTTGGTCACGGCGCCAATTGCTCCAGATAGCTGGAGAGGCTCCTGTGCGCGGCACTCCACTAGCAAGGCCTGAGTCTGGAGCATCTTTGGTGTCAGAGCGATTCGATGTGGAGAGTCCGAGTTGAGGTCGCTGTTCAAGACTCCCGTGTCCACTGGACCCGCCATCATCAGAACTAGTCGCTGGCCCTTGGCCATTCGACTTCTCAGTCGACGAATAAGGTTCACGAGTTGCTGAAGCGGCGGACTTCTCGATCATGTGGCTCGACTGCGTTGAAGCAAGAGCTGAAGTTGTGCGGTTTAGATGCGCCGTGGAAGCACCGCTAGTGTGCAAGAATTTGAAAGCGCGATCATCTTCAGGGCGCACGAGTGGTATCTGAAGCTTGCTGCGGTCATCATCATACAGTGTTAGTTGGCTAGAAGAGAAAAGAAGATCGGCGTTATGCTCTCGAAGCATATCGCTGCCAAGGAAAATTTGAATAGCTTTTGGATTGACTTCAGCATTGTGCTCCTCAGTGACAGTGAAATTCACCCCCACCGAAGGGAGCTGCGGAGCTGGACTGTCGGATCGCGAAGACGCTGAGATAGGCACGGCCTCTGGGAGATATACAGAGAGCTTGATTTTGCGAACACCATCCTCGCCTATAACGACGCGATCCTGGAAGCCTAGGTGGTGGACCATGTAAGAGTCCAGATGGGATGTGTATGAGCCTGAACACACTGCTGCGTACAACAGGGTATCGTGCCTGAAGTTAGTGTTGAGCCAGCAACGTATTATGGCAGGAACGGAGCCGAGAATGAACAAGCCAGGAGCCAGCCCTGGGGCGTCTTGAGGCGTTGTCGGTCCAAAGCTAGTAAGACTGTTCGCGCGACCAGAGGCCATGGAGTGTACCGAGTGGCCGGCAGAGCTCTGCCTTCCATCTGATTTGTGAGAGTAGCTGCGCTCGCTCATGACATGGCCGCCCATGCCACTGCCAGTGCGGGGTATCAGGTCCAACGACGACCTTGATGCATGTGCCCAGTGACCGTGGTTGGCCGTCTCGTCGAAGCGAACACTATTCGCACGGGATGTGGCGCCTACGCGACGAGGCTCTTCATCGGCGTCCAGCTGCAGGTTGCCGATGAGATTGCTGGACTGGTCGTCGAAGTTTGTAAAGTGCTCGGCGGTCGGCTGCTGCAGGGGCACTGATATGCGTCAGTCAGGCTTTCATGTTCCGATCTATACTTTCTCACCCTGTTGAGGGGTTCCCCCCAACACCGAAGGGAAGGGCGATGATGTCCCCCAGACGTTCTTCAGGCGCGAGTCGTCTTCGTGCTTGCGCTCCAAGCGAGCGACGCGATCAGCGAGGTCGGCTTGGTTCTCCTGCACTCGGAGCATCTCGCTTTGGAAGCGCCAGAAATCGTCGCGCGGCTGGAAGGCTACGCTCTGGGGATCCATTCCCGTTACTCTCTCATCCCTTGGTGACGTGCTCAACAAAGAGACACCAGCCTTCCCTCGGGGGTTCCCCAACCAACGAACACCGAACAACGACTGGAACCGACCTCAGCTTGCTCTATATGTACTTGTTCCGGGTTGGCAATCTGAGGGTTTGTCCTGTGCGAACGTCTCGATCGGCGGTAACGAAGAAGCGGCAAGGGTATGTTTGAAGGCGGCTATCGAACGGTAACGCGTTTGGTTTGGAGGTGTGACTAAGATGCGCGAAGAGTTTGCGACAGTTTTGGGGCCTCAGAGGGCAAGCGCCAGGCGTTGATCGATGTAGTCAGTTGGGGTGTTGGAAGCAGAAGGTGCGATCTTGCAACAACGCTCTTTACCGAAGATCAGGCGGTTTCCGAAGTGGCCCTAAGAAAATGGGCAAAGTATTGTACAAGACCCCGAAAAATTTGGTAAAAGAACAGGAACGAGAACAGTCGACTGCAGGAATGATGATGCGTATTGTCGTCGCGATGCTATTCTGAGGCTCATGGGGAACGACGCCGCCACTAACCACATGCTGCCGGAGTTATGCACCCCTGTCTGATTGGTACAGCCAGGGGCCTTCCCCAGAGCCCCGCTTTGTCGGACCTTCAACACATATAATTAAACCTGCTCGTGTACGCGATTTTTACCCTTCTGATGCATAGTCTAAGATGTCTGAGTGGCTTCCCATGCCTTCCATGCTTCTTGATCATTCCAAGGCGGCAATACCATGGGTAGCTTTTCGGGCATCTGATCCGGCCACTGCTGTTCAACTACCTTCATCAATTCTTGGTAGAAGATATCGTAGCCTGCCGGGTTGAAGTGGAGGCCTACAGGTCAAGTCAGCACGGGAATGAAGGCGAGAATGCCAGGCAGATGTCATACCATCGTACATGAGTTCCACCAAGGCATCATTCTGCGCAACATCTAGAGACCCAGGCAGCTGATCACCGAGCTTCCAAGCGTCTGCCTTGAAGTCCGTCTTCGCCATGAAGGTTTTCCAAAGATTCACGACGGGAAGATTGAGCTCAGCGCCAAGCTCGACAACTGCATCGGCATATGCTTTGGTCGTACTGGCTAGACGCGAGACGCTAGTATACCCGTTCGACTGGTCTCTTGGCCACCAGAGATGCTCGTTGATTGGGGGCGGAGCAACCAGGATGATACGAGGGTTGTGAGCTTTGATCTTTGGATGGAAAATGATGTCCTTCAAGTGCTGAACAAACTCGTTGAGCGGAATGTGCTGCTTGTTCGGCGCATCTGGTAGGGACGAGTCGTTGGCACCGAAGAAGACGGTCTACGTTATTAGTTGGGGTAGTGTCCGACATGGGCAAGTCTTACCATGAACCGGATCTTAGCCTGATCTGGCGGAGGCACGATCGCGGGGAGTATCTGGAGAGCTTGGCGCGTGTTGTACCCACTGCCGTAGTATTAGTCCTGGCTACAGCTGCAAGAATAGGACGTCATAACCTAAAGCCGCGATTGACTACATCGAGTCGTCGTATGTATGCTGGTAGGGTATCAGCGTCCGTTTGCAGCGGTCCGAGCCAGTGATCAGCATGGAAGCTTCACGAAGAACTGTATCAGGCAAGAAAGAGCGACCCGTGAGAAGATGACGACATGTCGACTGACCAGCTTGGAGGGCTGCAGAGAAACCGAAACCGCGCTCTTGGGAGAAGGAATCTTGGGTTATGCTGTCTCCGAACAGCAGGAATTGTTCGTATAGAGCAGGCTATGGTTATCAGTGTGTGTTTTTTTTTTTTGGAACGCCACCAAGGCCCAGCAGAACTCACCATCTTGAATGCTACAGAGGGATGTAGGTTCGATCGTCGTCAGACCTTCCACAATGTTTTGCTAGTAACTCGAGGGATGCTACTCGGCGAATTCCCGGTCTTCCGAAACCGGCTTTCCGAGTTGTTCCTTTGGAATCCTCAGATCAGCGGCTCAGCAGCAGACGAATGCACGAGCGGATAGGAAACGACAAGTTTGCCAGCATGTAACCCCCCAATTCTCCCGAGTTGCAGACGCAAGTCAGTGTGTGGTGGTGGGGCTGGGGGCTGCGATTGGCGGCTACGGCATCGCGCCTTGGCCGTGTGTGGTTAGCAGGTTCCGTTTGCCCTGCATTTCGTCACTATCGCGTGCAACCCTGATAATCACATGGGACGCGCCTACCGCCATTTCCCTGACGAGTCGCCTGAGATCAGCCTCAGAGTGCTGCCTGCAGAGCGCTGCTGCTTTTGCTGCTTTTGCTGTTTTGTGCGGATCGCTGCGATGCGTACGCAAGCAAGTCTGAAACTGTCGGCTTACCCGCGTCGGTGCGTATCGCTCCCCGGACCAAGGACAACAACGCATCCTGGAGGGATCCGCGGCGTAGTGGGGATGAGCCATGGTGCCCAGCCATAACATATCCATCGTGACACCGCCATCGTTTTCCGAATGACCACGATAGCGGCTTCTGCTCGGCGACATGTCTCTGACCGACCTCGATACTAATAGACTGCCCTTGCCCAGATTGTAGCTGCCTCCCTTATACACTCGCTCGCCATGCCCAAGTCGATGCAGTCGTACCGCAGTGTCGACGACTACGACGCCGACGATGACTACGCTGCCGAGCAGCGCGAGCGCGATGACACGTTCAGCAGCACCACGCCCACGTCGCCCACGCTCACCTTCAGCGCCCAGAGACCGATGCGTGCCTCGGACACGGATCTCACCCGCTCCACAGGCAGCGTCAACGAGCGGACCGCCCTGCTAGGAGTCCCTCACCTGCGGGGCGCCAGGTCCTACAAGAGCCTTCCTGCCACAAGTCCGGGCACGCCTCGACCGGGCATGACGCGTAACAACAGCCAACTGCCCACCAGCTCGCGCATGCGGAGCCGGAGAGGTTCCCTTACGGGCGGACACACGTTTAGTCAGCGGCTGGTGAATGCCCTGGGTGAGCGAGGCGCCGGCCTGGAGCAGAGTATGCACTCAGCAAAGGCCTCGTTCCTCCAGGACAACCGCGTGTGGTACGATCAGTTCACGTCCACTGATTGGGTTCATGATAACATCGCCGACGCGTATCGCGTCAAGGCGCTACGAAGTAGAAAAGACATCAGGGGGCGCTTGGCTGCGTGGTTCGATGGAGCCCAGGGCTGGGTACTGGTGGCCCTCATTGGCGTCCTGACTGCCGTCTGCGCCTACTTGGTCAACACCACCGAGACCACGCTGTTCGACCTGAAGCAAGGATACTGCACTAAAGGCTGGAATAAGAGCCGCAAGACGTGCTGCGATGGTGCATCAGTATGCGATAGCTGGGTAAAATGGTCCGAGGCCGTCCGAAACGACAGGTTGGATGTGGTCCAAACCCAATATGGCTTCTTCGTGCTCTCCGTCGTCTTGTTGTCCATGGCCTCGTGTCTGCTCACCCTCACCACCAAGACAGTCATCCCCTCGGCCATATCGCTCTCCACACTCGACGAGAACTTGGGTGCAGAAGTGCGGAGATACTCTGATCAAGCTGAAGAAGAAGATGGCAAGCGCAGTCGCAGTATCAGTCCAGAGTCGAGGTTCCAGGAGGTTCAGGCCCGGCCGCCCATGGTTTACTATTCTGCTGCAGGCAGTGGCGTAGCTGAAGTCAAGGTCATTCTTAGCGGCTTTGTTCTCCACGGTTATTTGGGTGTGCGGACTCTGCTCGTCAAGACGCTGGCACTGATCCTAAGTGTCGCATCAGGTCTCAGTCTTGGTAAGGAAGGTCCGTATGTGCACATCGCGACTTGCATAGGAAACATCGCGTGCCGTATCTTCTCCAAGTACAGTAACAACGATGGAAAGCGCAGGGAGATCCTCAGCGCTAGTGCTGCTAGTGGTGTCGCCGTTGCTTTCGGTGCTCCCATTGGTGGAGTGCTCTTCAGCTTGGAAGAAGTCAGCTATTACTTCCCGTCCAAGACGCTCTTCAGAACCTTCTTCTGCTGCATCGTAAGTCACCTCTTTCCCACACTGGCTAGGCTAATTTGTCAATAGGCGGCTGCTCTGTCTCTCAAATTCCTGGATCCATACGGCACCAAGAAGATTGTTCTTTTCGAGGTTCGATACCATTTGGATTGGAAGTTCTTCGAGCTTGCGACCTTCGTCTTCACCGGTGCCGTCGGTGGTGTCCTCGGCGCATTGTTCATCAAGGCATCTCGCATCTGGGCACGAACATTCCGTCGTATACCCATCATCAAAAAACACCCGCTTCTCGAAGTATTTCTTGTTGCGCTTGTCACCGGTCTGATCAGCTTCTGGAACCGTTACACCAAGCTTCCAGTCACGGAGCTTTTGTTCGAGTTGGCTAGTCCATGTGATATCTACACGGACAGTGGTGACGGTCTTTGTCCTACAGTCGAACACATCCCAAGCGTGCTCAAAGTTTTGTTCTTCGCATTCGTCATCAAGGCGCTTCTGACCGTCGTCACCTTTGGCATCAAAGTGCCAGCTGGTATCTATGTACCTTCCATGGTTGTAGGTGGTCTTGCTGGACGCTTCATTGGTCACACCGTGCAACTTGTTGCCCTACGTTTTAACCACTTTGGTCTTTTTGGAGAATGCTCCGCCGATGGGACACCAGGTCAATGTGTTGTTCCTGGAGTTTACGCTCTAGTAGCTGCTGGCGCCACAATGACAGGTGTTACTCGTCTGAGTATCACCTTGGCAGTCATCCTCTTTGAGCTCACAGGCAGCTTGGATCACGTTCTACCTTTCTCTCTCGGCATCCTTGTCTCCAAATGGGTAGCCGATGCCATTGAGCCACTAAGTATCTACGATCTGCTCACAGACATGAACTCATATCCCTTCCTCGACAATAAGGTGCGGCCGATTTTCACATCTGAGCTTGGCGACATCACCACTGGGAAAAGACAAGATCACATCATAGACATCTCGGAAGATGCACTTATCCCCGCCGTCGAACTTCGTGCAAAGCAACGTAGACTACAAATGATAGGCGAACTTGATGGTGGCCTATCAATTATTAAAAATGGCGTTCTTGTTGGTCTCATTCCTGCACCGGATCTGGAATTCGCCCTTGATAAGCTAGAAAATGAGGAGAACACACTTTGCCTCATGTCGCCACGGGTAGACTGGGCTGCAGGGCGGGAGCCGCAAGATGAAGAAGAGCAAGACGCGTACGATCCTAGCGACTTTACACCATATATTGATCCGGCACCTGTTGCGTTGGACGTCCACTCACCAATGGATCTGGTGTACGAGTGCTTCGTGAAGCTTGGGTTGCGGTATATCTGCGTGCTTAGGGACGGCAAGTACGCTGGTCTGGTATGTAATGCATAATGAGTAGAGGCTGAGCAATACTAACTGTAAGCAGGTTCACAAAAAGACTTTCGTCAAATATGTCAAAGAACTCGAGCACCAGGAGAAGACATCGCACTAGATTTGAATCATCGGCGTTTTAAGTTTTGTTCATCTCGTTCTGAATAGCGTCATACCCTCATTATTTTTCAGTGGTTTTTCTTTCCATTTCCAGGCCATTTCCTAGGCCGTACACTGCATTTAGACTGGCGTTGCATATAGCATGTCTTCGTAGACAACATGGCAGCACATGATAAGAGTAGAATATACATGGAATTTTCTCTCCAAAATGCCCTTGAAGCCCGTTCTCCTTCTTTTCGCTGTGAATCGCCGCACCCACCCGCTTAGTGGCCTTAGAATATGACCAGCAGTAGTGTTGAGCGCAAAAGAGAAGAAGGGAAGCGCAAAGCGGTCAGTGTGCATCGTGTTCACGTCAACGGAGGTGGAACGGCCACAAGACAACCCAATTTAGAACAAATCTTGCGGAGATATTGGATGAAGTAGAAACGAGTGCAAAAGACAGGAGGAGCTGGTATGAACGGGTTATTCTCGAGGCCCATCATCTCCAAACTCGTCTTGTCGTGTACATGGATAGTTACAGGGTCATGAAGTCCAGCCCCACCAGTCCTGTACTAGTGCTACTGTCGGTTTACCCCGCGAGTCATGCTACAAGACTTAGTTGACTGAACGCGCCCGTGGACGAGTACTGTTGTGCTAAGTCAGCCAGACTGGTAATGTAATGCCAAAGATATAGACGATACTATGAATCATTTTGTCATCAAAGTTAAACAGCCTTCCTAGCTCAGTGGTAGAGCGCGTCACTAGTAATGACGAGGTCGTCAGTTCAATTCTGGCGGAAGGCAATCATCATTGTCTTTTTGCTTACGATGGCCGTATAGTTGCTACATCAGCTTTTTTGCTGCTATGTGGGAATGAATAGGTATATTGTGGCATAAGCGAACAATCTTGAAAATCCTCCATAGCGTACATCGCAACCTGATAGCGACCGAACAACGACTGTCAGTTGTAGAGAAAGGGATTCAGACTTGGACATGCGACGGTGACAATTGCTCATGCTGTTGAGGTTGTTGATGCTATGATTATGCGTATGCCCCATCTTCTAGCTAAACGGTGGTACCTGGGGACGCCAAAAACGGTTAAGTTAAACCTTTGACGATGCAAAGAAGAGCATCATAAAGTCACATTCCAGTCCCTATACACAGACTATAGACTGTCACTGTCGCATGGTCGTAATGAATGATAATATGTCTTATCATGATGGCACTATAGAATTGACATATGTACAGTAGTAACAACACTAGTGCGATACTTGACGCTCGCTCAGATGTCGCACCGGAGCAGAGAAACAAGGGCTCCCTAACATGATCCAGCTACAGCTGTGGTATTTCGCTCGATATGTATTGTCCGTGAGGATGTAATTGGCGTCAACTCCATGCCCTTGTCTGTATCCGTAGATCCACTTGTCACAATCGTATCGAGTTGGCGTGATCCCAACGGTGAGTCTGGTGGTGGTAGCGCCATTCCTCTGCTGCCCTCCTCTATATCTGCTCTGGTATCATCTTTATCCTTATTCCGGAACATAACGTAAAACACGATGGTTGTGAGGGCCATAGCACCTGTAAGACTGCCGTAGAACGAGGTAAGGTAAGGATCGCGAGCTGCCTCGGCGATGACCAGAGCGATGGCCGAGCCTATACCCGTGATGAGCATGTTGATAGCCTGCACAAAGACCTTCATCTCCTTTGGTGCGTGCTTCTCTGCATACTCCATGGCTGTCGTCATAGCGAACACCTCGCCTGTTGCCATCAGGAAGTAGAGAGGCGCTTGTATCCAGACATTGGGCCGGTATCGTGTTGCGGACACACTATTTCCACAGTATGATGGGTGGTCGAAGCATGGTGGAGACTTATAGATGTAGTATTGTACCAAGGTTGCATACAGCATCGAAAGTGTGACAAAGCAAAAGCCGATGGCGATGCGAGTGATCGCCTTCAAATATATGCATCTTTTTGCCAGCAGAGGGTTGAGGACGTATTCTACAAATGGACTGATGAGTATGCAAGCCACTTGGTTCATGCCAGGGAGGATGTCGTTTGGCGTGTCTCCGGTGTTCATGTCGCTGGCTTGAGATATAAGGTTGTTCTGCATTTGATCGAAGCAGATGTAAAAAACAATAAATGCCAGACTCGATTATAGGTCAGCATATACAAGCACATGGATCCAGTCACACTTACAGCACCCGACACGCGCCCAACGCATGAGTAATCTCATCGACGAACTGACCGGTCCATGAAACCTCTTTACCTTTCTCGGTATGCTGATAAATTGGGTCTGCGCGTTTCATCCGAAAGCCATTGCGGATAGCGCAGCTGAGAACCCTAGCTGCAGGTACCACCACATCTGCTTCCTGCGGTGGATTGACTACCTGCAGGTTAGCGTAGCTAGCGTTGAAACGTAGGATGCTGCATACCGAAAAGTTTCCTGCCAAATACCAACATCAAGAGCGCAATAACGATACAACCAAGACCAAGAGCATATGCGGAAGCGAATCCGTGGTGTTTCTCAATGTAGACGCAAGGGAATGCTGACAAAGCGCCTACATTGCCGATCCAGAAGTATAGGTTGTAAATATATTGTAGAGTGATATCGCTGTCGATCACTACTAGTTCTTCTTTCAATGAAGTTGTACAATATTTCGCGAGATAACTCCATTTCAGGAAACGGTTCTGAGGCGTCAATAGTGTTATCTTCTTGGAAGTCCTATCCGTATACTGGTTGGCAATGAACGACCTCATGGTGACTTGGGTCTAAGAGAAGTCAGGATTCGCAGCAAGCGGCACTGATGATGATACTCACACCTCCGCCACCCATAGCAATCAGCAACATCGCAATAATCAGACCAGGCAAACCCGCTCCTCGATCAAGCATCACCGGGAGCGAGCTGATCACCAGGGCGATGCATCCTATAGTATAAATCGCCAAGCTGATCAGCAAAGTCTTGTATTGGCCTAGATGATTGTCTGCCAATGGCGCTATGAGAATCGGGCTGGTGAAGTAGACGATGAAGAATCCGCAGTACATTCGTGTTGCCGTGGTCTGCCCAAGGTTGAGAGCACCGGGAGTTTGGTCCTTTTCGTGATACTGAGGGTGTTCCATGTAGTTTTGCCAAGGGGCGGTGACTTTCCAGTGTAGTGTCAGTGTCATGTCAAACATTTTGCTACAGGTGGTGACACTTACGCCCCCAGAATGTTGCTCTCTCCCAGAACCCGATCATAGCGACGACCCATAGCTTCCATGGTATGCTATCCCTGACACGTCGCGGTTCAGGAGCATCATGCTCGGAACTTGTGACACTCGAAGTCGATGAGGCTTGTGACACTCGCTTCCGAGATGTACTGTTATCAAAGTCAACGACGGTGGTTGCTGTGTTGTTGCAAGTACTGACCCGTCCATGGTTGCAGGTGGCTCAGATGCTCGAGCACTGCGTTCTCCCACCGTTGTTTGATACGGGAGTGATAAGGAAAGGAGAAATAATTGTGAATTCGTAGGTAGAGCGACTGAATCACGCTAGGCGTGGAGGTTGAACCGATGTACGGCAAGCGACGCACAGGACTTTTGTTAGTAGGGGAGAGCGGTAGCCACTGCCTACTGAGGCGGTCGCAGTGTACCTTTCCTTTACTAATTCAACCAACATTGCGGTGAAAACGTGCACGATTCGTCGGCTCTTGTCCATGCAGCAGCCCGTGCGGGAGAGGGATCATGCAAAAGTAATCGCCTCTTGAATGTTTGGTAGCCGTTTGATCGACGCTTCCGTATGCTAGTTCCCTAATATCTTACACCGGGTGTTGCTCTCAGCCGCGGCTGACTTTGGCCTGGATTTCTACTCCGCCAGCCACCATCTCCTAGCGTGTACACCAACCACGATCGGAAAGAAAGTACCAGCAAGACTCGCTATACCTCAAGAACAAACGACTCTCCGCTCCATGAGGCGCGGTTGATGTCACCCAACAAGACGCATTGATATGATAACCACAACTGGAGACGCCCAAGTTGCACACATATCGCTGCCGCATGCCAAGATTCGGTAAGGGCTTCATTAGGGCCAATTCTGGTTACAGGTGCTCGGGACGTGGACCAAGGTACTACTGAGAAGGACCCAGTAACCAGGCGCACAGAAACAAGAGCTGTAAAGCCATGGCCTAGTTCGCCGTACGCGCGAGGCTAAGAGTTTGCTCAAGGAAACTGGGGTAAATATTGCAGTCACCACCCATGAATGCACAAACACTTCCTAGATTTAGGTTTCCAGTTAAGCTTGAAAAGATTCCTTGTTTACCAGTAAACGTTTACGCAACCAATACGCTTGACGACCATAAAATCTCATCAAATGTGCTAAAAGACACAGGCGAATATCTGTCTTTTTTGCATGCGTGTATCCGCAGCGTTATGTCATGAGCCGGCACCATGAGCAGGTGCAGATGGTTCGACAATACCAGGTACCACCCGTCGGATTCAGTAGCCTAATCGTGCGCTGCCCGTCCCGCTGCCGAGCAACAATAGAGGGTTCAAAGTGGAGGAAACGTGTATTCTGTGGTGCGGCTGAGTAACGTCGGTAGACACTGGGAACTTGAAAATGCGCGTCCAAGTTTCGGTACCTGGATGCTTCGATTACATCAGCAGATCTAAATTCGGCACGGTTCGGAATACGGAGTCATCTGCCAGCCACTACAGCTAACGTCTTATGCGTGGCTTCTTGTCGTCATTACGTTTTGCAAAGTCTCCCTGTCAGCAACCGCGTACCTGCTTGTCTTGCAACTTTACACCGCTTCATTTCCATGCGGAACACCATATCAAGCTTCCATGCGGCCGATCAAAGACAACATGGCCGTAGCACAAACTCTACACGGAAATACGGCTGAGTCAAAATCTTTCGATATCAGTCGCACAGATGGTGTTACGGCGCTGCACCGACAGAGCATATGCGTTTGCTGCAGCATCGACTCCAGATGACTGCGCCATCGTCGCATGCTTCACTACGATCTACTGATCTGCTGCAAAAGGCCCTTTTCTTTTTTTGACTTTAGTGGCGGTGAGTACTCCGACCAGTGAAATCATGACGCGGGTATTTACCAATGTGTCACTTGCATCGCAGCAGACGTGTGACCAAGACTGGTAGGCCGGAAGCAACATCAAGGACCGGAGACGGTTGAGCGATGTCTCTGAACATGTGTGGCTCACAGAAAGTTGGAATACATGTTCTCGAACGCAATGTTGATCGGTGTGGCCAAGACAAGCAACGCTCGGGGTAACCGTAGGGCCTAGCCCAGAATCCCACCATGGGGCTGCAGGTGATCGTCGAAAATGCGCGGGGCTGGACTGTACCGTTGGGAGCTGTAAGACGCGGCCTGCAGGTGGCACCAGGTACCAATAGTGCGATGTCGGTCCGTATTTACCCCGGAGTATTGTGTATTTACCGGCAGCGGGGCCCCGTTTGCCTCCATCCACTCGATTTCCCACTTTTACACGTCTCTTCGAGATATCTCTATTCGCATTCGTTCCTCACGATGTATCACCTAGACGGCAACCCGGCCCCATCCGATCAATCTCTATTCAACGACCTACTCAAAATTACGACATCCAAATGGCAGTCGATGTTAAAGAAAGACACAACTCCTACACGAGAGGAAACCGCTTCACGACCATCGGTATCAAGAAGCTCTACCCAACTCTCGGTCCCAAGATCGAAGGAATAAAGGAAGCAAATTCAAGCGAGAAACAGCTCGACAAGCTGTGGCAGATAGTGGGAGAAGCGTAGCCTTTGCCTCTCTCTACTTCTTTCGGGTTGTGGTACGACGCGGACTCGACATGCCTGTGGCTTACGTTCTATGACTCCACGCTCTCTTGAAACCATATCCTCTTCCACCAAGCAACGAATCCGCAACAACCATCCGTCTATTACCCGCATGCGCGCTTTCATTGCAACTGCGTCGGATAACAAAGTGCATGCCGATTCTCTGGGCGGACTGAATGACTTTGGCCCTTCACAAAGGTTAGCAGGAAGATGTGATACGGAAATTTATAGCTCTTCAACGCAAGAAACATGGATAAGGAAGAGAATAACATCCGCTGCAAAGGTTCGGCTGCGCATACGCATCATTTTCAGTATCGCGAACAGGCAAGGCAATGCACCGCTTTGAATGAAACGCTGCTAGTACGTGTTGGCCAGGACAACAACTCTCATACGCTGGGATTAGAGGTAAGGAGACCTTGGACGTTCGAGGTTCGCTTTGATCTCTACCACGCTTGTGGTGATAAGTTTGTGGGAGACTCAAGGGAGATGTTGATGGAGCTGTGGCATGTGTTGTAAGCCCGACTGTACTGTACTATAGACCATGACGAAGATGATAGGGTTCATCCTGCGGTAGTGCCGCTGTTCCAATGCACACGCGATACACGAGACCTGTAATTAAGTGATGCCTGCGAAGTTGTATCCGGATCATCTAGACTAGAAAGCATACAAGTATTGTTGCGTCTGCAAATTCCTAGTTCCGATCGAAGGTATAGTCAAACCAGTGCACCCAGAGAACGAACTTCAGTCTCCCGAATAAGTCATGCATGAGTGAAATATTGTACACGACTTGGCATACTATGAAACATTCAAGTCTAGTTTGATCAGGCACGGAGCACGCGGACCGATCAGTATCCAAAGACGGCCCAGCCACATATAATCTAATACATAGTGTAAGGTTACCCAAGATGGCCAGAAAATTGGTACGGCAATATACCACTGCCGAACACAACCAAAGTGACCGCGATTTGGAGCATCAACTGTCTCTATCGGCTTGAGCTATACTATTCCATTCCTTTGTTCATATATATGATCATGATGAATACTGACGCATTACATGTGATTAAATGCGCGCTGTTTGTGATGTTTCTTGCGTATG